GAAAGCAAACCACCAGGTCCAGGACTTGAACCATGGTTGGCCATGTGAGAATCCAGCGCCCTTATCCACCACACCACCTGCTGGCCCCTTCTGAGTTTATTTCTAACCAGAACAAATATTTATAGAAAATGAACAATACAAATGGAAATTATGCATGTATTTTTCTATACCTACATTTAATAGGAAATTCAGTTTCACAAAAAAGGTTAATTCACTTATTTTTCTGTATGATTTCTAAGATAAATCTGTAATTTTCCACAATATATCATTAAAATAAAACTAATAAAACTCCCATACAAGAACATTTTATTTTTTAGAGTTTAACAGATGAATAAGATGTAATATTTGTATAATAGGATACCATGTTTTATATTGTCTATAGAAAGAATTGCTAGTCAATCAAGTATCTAAGAAAGAAAATTCAAATATCTAAGAGAAAGTTCAAATAGAATGTAAAATCTGATTTTAATCTCTAAAAATTTTTCTTAGAGTTTTATTAATCAAGATAAAAGAAAAGAAACAGAAGATGAAGATAAATCAAAATCATTTATGCAGAAATATGAGCAAAAAATCAGACATTTTGGTAAGTATTGAGTAATCTTTTTAATGTTACATATTATGTGTATGCAAAAAATGGATTTATAAAGTGAGAACTAAAAAGATATCACAAACTTGAATTGTGTGACTACTTCTGGCACAATAGTATAGATTTAGTTTTAAACTTTTTTTTTTAAGAGATTTTTGCCGTAGGGCACATTCACTTGCTGGAGATAAAGTGAGAGATACAGACACAGTGAGAGGGAAGGAAAGAAATCAGCCCCCAGAGGGGACAGTCACACAATAATCCCTTCTCTTCCATTTTCCTTCCAGGATCTTGGGCACAAACACCCACACTCCCAGCATGATTTTCAAGCCACTGGGTCCTGGACTCAACCATGATTGACAATGTGGGATCCAGAGATGAAACCACTATGACATTCGCTGGTCCCTAGTTTTAAATGTTTTTTTTGTTGTTGTTGTTGTTGTTTTTGAGAGATTTTCACTATAGGGCGCGTGCGCTTGTCAGACAGACAGAGAGAGACATAGAGACAGAAAGCGAGAAATCACCCCCCGGGGGGATGGTCACGCCGCAGTCCCTTCTCCATTCTCCTCTTGGGCTCTTGGGCACGCATGCACACGTGCCCGGCGTGAGTTTTAAGCCACCGGGTCTGGGATGAGAACCACGGTCGACTATGTGGGAGTCCAGTGACATAGCCATTACGCTAACTGCTGGTTCCCTGTTTTAAATGTTTTTATGGTTATAAATAAAATAGATTGAGGAAATCAATTATGAAGAAGCATAAAATTTCAATCTGTTATTATATAATACTATCCTCTAAGACTTTCTTTTTTCTTTCTTTCTTTTTTTTTTTTTTTTAAGAGATTTTTTGCTATAGGACACATGCACTCTCCAGAGAGACAGACAGAAAGTAAGATATCACCCCCAGGGAGATGGCCATGCCACAATCTCTTCTCCATTCTCTTCTCAGGATCTTGGGCATGCACCACACAGATGCCCAGTGTGAGTCCTAAGCCATAGGGTCCAGGACTCAAATGCAGTTAACTACATGGGAGTCCAGCAACATAACCATTACACCATCTGCTGGTCCCAGACATTCTTTAAGAGGTTTTATCATAGAGCATGTGCACTCATGGGGCGCATGCACTTGCTACCATGGGGCACATACACTCTTCAGAGAGAGAGACAAAGGCAGCAAGAGAGAAAGAAATCACTCCCTAAGGGGGCTGGCCATGCCTCAGTTGCTCCTCCTGGAATATTGGCAATGTTTGCACATGCACCTGGCATGATTTTCAAGTGACTGGGTCCAGGATTCAAACATGGTCGGCCATGTGGGAGTCCAGTGACTTAAGCACCCAAGACATTCTTTCATATGACACACCCT